ATGCGTTGCAACTTGAAAAACGAAGGTTAGCAACTATATAACTCACGGCACTTCACGGTGGGACAATTACCCAATCAATTCGAAAGCTATTGACTGAAAGGATCATGTTGAAATTTCGCGTAAATGTTTATCATTAAATTAGCAAAATAGAAAAATTTATGACTGAATTGACGTTTGTAAAATACATTTAAAACTGATTAGACTATTTCCTCCTTCATAATACATAACCGTTACAATTCAGTCAAAACTCTGTCAAACGTGACTCGACGTGTTAGCTAGAAGATTAACCCTTTGTCAAGGTAAACCTTGGAAAGAATCTTTGGGGAAGCTAGTTTAAAGTAGCCTAGGACCGAATTGGCATATGTACAATAACTTCAAAACTAACTGGACAATTTCTCCCTTCAAAATACATCACCACTACGATCCAGTCACAACTATACCGAATGTGACTCGACATTTTTGCTAGAAGACTAAATCATTGTCAGGGTAACCCTTGGGGAGAATATTTGGGGAAGCTGGCTTACACGTTGGAAGTCACATGCCGCAAATCCTAACGCTAATCCTCGTCACTCCAGCGGTGGATTTGCACTAATTTTGCAGAGAGAGTCAATGAAATTCCAGTCGTTTGCACGACCATACATTTAGACTTCCCTCAATTCTCTAAGTCCCTCAAATTTCACTGAATTTTGAAGCCATGGAAAATTCATTTTACCCATTTTACTCCCTTTTTTTTTTCACAAAAACGGGTTTGATTTGATGTGAAAATCAGTTCAAATCGACGGTGGAGATCTATACTGATGCTCGCCATTGCCATAATTGGGGTTTGATCAAGGGTAATATCATGATTAAAGAAAGAAGGCACGCCTCTCCAAGTGAGTAGACAACAAAGCCTACAACATGGCGGTTCGAGTTTTCCAACACGAATAATGTCAAATTTTGTAAGATTTCGATGAATTTAATAAGACTATATTCTCCCGACAGATAAAAGTTGCAGCATAGCTTTACACACTTCTAGGAGTCTTTTGTTCAATTTTGGTTGAAGTAATATTTTATGACATTACTAATTTGGTCGCTTTTTTATTATTTATTATTTCTAAATTTTTAGATTGTGGTTTTAATACATCAAATATCAAAATCTTGACGATTTCTGTACGTGAAATTGAAATGGGTCTTCAAATTTAACACAACTCTAGTGTTCTTGCACTCCAAAATTACAATGCAATTTCTACTTACAAGAAAATGTCGCAAGGGTTAAGCATCAGTGATCACATCGATATGGATTTGTTAGATAGATGACAGAAGCAGAAATGACTAAGTGTTGAGGATTAGTTGGTAAAATGCATTCCGTCAATAAGAGACCGCCCGTCTCTAACCCAAAAAGATTGTCGATGGCATGGTTAAGTGTTGGGAACTTTTAGACAATAAACCTAGTTGGTTGTTAATAACCAATGTAACCGTTAAGGAGGTGGGAGCGAGGTAACTGTCAAGTCGTGAAACCGATTACTTCGAATGCAATTGCCTAGAAGTGGAGCCGATAATTGTGAGTGCAAAAAACGATGGGAAAATTGTCCAAAAAGTCCTAAACATATTGCACTTTTGCCAATTTATTCATAAACCTTTTAAGTTTGCCAATTCAGTCCTAAACCTTTTCATTTATTGCCAATTAAGTCCATCCGATCAATTTTGGCCGTTCGGCGCTGACGTGGCCGTCGGCCAACGCTGACGTGGCAATTTTTAAATAATTTTTTTCTTTTTTTTCTGCCTTCTTTCCTTTGGCCTGTCCGGCGACCTGAGAGGTCGACCTCGCTGGCCTCTAGCAAAGGTCACCCCCGCTGGCCACTGTCGAGGGCAAGCCTCGCCCGCCGCTACCAGGCTAACCTCGCCGGATCTAGGCGAGGTCAAGCCTCGCCCAGCCAAGGCAAGATCGACCTGCGACGGCACTGGCCGGCCTCGCTTAGCCACGGTGAGGCGACGGCACTGGCCGGCCTCGCTCAGCCACGGTGAGGCCGACCTTGCCATCGCTGGGTTTCACCTCGCCGGATCTGGGCGAGGTCGGCCTGGCAGCGACGGGCGAGGCTTGTCCTCGCCAGTGGTCGGCGGGGCCGAGCTTTGCCAGAGGCCGGCGAGTTTGACCTCGCTGGGCCATGCCTTTAGCTGGTCGCTGGTCGCCGGTCGTCGATCGCCGAACCGGCCAAAGGAAAAAAGGCAAAAAAAAAAGAAAAAAAGAAAAGAAAATTTAAAAATTCGAAAAAATATTAAAAAATTGTCACATCTGCGTTGGATGGTGGCCGCGTTAACGACGACCGACCAAAATTGGTCGGATGGACTCAATTGGCGAGAAGTGAAAAGGTTTAGGACTGAATTGGCAAACTTAAAAGGTTTAGGACTGAATTGACAAGTACAATAGGTTTAGGACTTTTTGGACAATTTTTCCAAAAAACGATAGTAACCGCAAAGGAGTGGAAGCAATGCAATCGTCATAATGGTGCTGAAAATTTCAGATGCAACTGTTGAAGAGAACCGTTAGAGAAGTGGAAGCGATAATCGTTCGGCAATGGAGTCGATGATTACGGAGAATGTACATAAGTAGAGATAAATCATGAAAGTCATGTGTAACTTGAGTAGTTTTCGAAGTAGCTGCTATAAACGAAAATAGTAGGTATAAGTATTTGAATTGTATTACGTAGAGAGGACCACAATTCAACAAAGAATCCTTTCAACCTTCGTCAATTACTCAACGATCCATATTTCAAAAGGTATTTCATCAACATTTTTCGGCGAAACACAATAAAATATACGAAATGCAGCCGGAAGAGATGGAAGAGAGGATGTATTCTCATTTTGTTAGAGTATAAAAATTAGGAGGGGGACCGATGGTGTAAAAACAATTGGAAAAAGGAGTGATTCGATTGGCGTGCCACAAGTCAGAAATAATTTTAGGGCTAACCAAATAAATCAAAAGGATGGGGATGGCATTGTAATTAATTCCTTATGTTTGCTCCAAGTTTGCAATACCCCAACCTTAATTTTCTGAAAAAAAAATGCATTAATTATGGTTTTCTTGAAAATTGTGGTCTCTTTTCTTTTGTATTTTTTCTAATTCTTAACATCATTATTTCCTAATGTTACCATTCAATTCACCCTCGCATGCATTATTTTCTAGGGCTTGTTAAAATAATACAACGAACAATCCAAAGGCATGGACATGGAGATATTGCTACTTGAAAATCCATCAAGTACTCTGAACCGCCGAACCGGTTAAGGCCAGACATTGGGCACGTGGAGATGGCCTCAACCCACCTATAGCACACTACAAGAGATTTCGCTTTTAGTGGCATTTTATTTAGAGTTTTGGCGGCGATGCTACTCACCATTAAAGAGTATAGCATGGTTGCACGATCGCCACGTTAGGGAATGTCGCTAAAAATTACAATGGCAATTATAGCAATTGTAGGTAAGGGACCCTATTCACCACTAAAAGTTCAAAGTTATAGCAACAATTATTGTGGCGATTGCAATTGCCATCAAATGTAAAAGAAGAGATTTCAAAAGGTTAATATCACGAAAACCCCCAAAACTTTTATTATAGGCTCCAAAACCCATCGACCTTCAGCATTATACCAATCGTATCTTGCCGTCAGAATTCATCGAAACATTATCTTTTTGTCACCCTTTCGCCCTTTGCAGCCTCAAATAATTACATTGCCACCGGGGCAAGATTTTTAAAAGGGGACATAGTTTTCTGATTCCCGCCTCCATTTGTATAAGGACTTTTCTAACATAAGAGTCTTTGAGATATTGTGAGAGTTACAACATATTATGAGTCACAAATTCTTGAAAAAGTGGACTCCACGACAAATTTATCACTATTTGTTATTTGTTTTTTGTGGTTTAGAACAGGCTATTAATTTCACGGTGGATTAAGAACATTGACTTAATCATTTCCTTTTTTTATAAATCTTAGAAAATACAACCTATCCAAGGATCAACTACAATAGCCATAAACAAACAATTGTCTAATACATGGATAGGCTCTACAAACCACAAATAGATGTAAATTGTACATGCAAGAAAAGAGGAATCTTTTAATTTAGGACAGATTATGAAATTAATACCATTGAAAAAACAATCTCAATAACTAAAAACGATAAAAATTTTGGACTAATTTCAAAGAACGTGGAATGATCACAAAGAGAGATAATTCAATTATGTACATGTAGGATTAGTCTAGATTGCTTTAAAACCTCTAGCAAGGATTGGCTTAAACATTGCTTTTATCATATATGTTTAAAAGGATGTATGTATAACAAGTTCAAGGACTCTTTGCTAGACATTGTAGAATCCATGTTGGGTGATGGACCTATGAATTTGAATTGCTAAGAATCCACATTGCATGCTCAGCTCTTAAGCCTTCCCTAGCATGCACATACAATATACTACAGTTGACCTAACATACTGGATTACCAGTAGGCTTTTGAACGAGTATACATATGGACTTCATTCAACATACCCAATGACAATCCGTCACCGTATCAGTCATCTATGGATTTGTAGGTAAAGCTTTCGGTTGACAAACTCTCTCCACATAGATATAGTAGCTAGATAGATACGGTATGATGCGCAAGAAGACAAAGGTTGGTGGGGGAGGGGGATTGTGTGGAGGGAGCCAGCTATAAAAATGGAGAAAATGAGGCTAGGGTTTCTCCAAAAAGAAGGCCACATCTCACGTGACATGTGATGCAAAAGTTGCCAAGCAAAAAGCGATACACATACCACATCACTCCTCAATAATATTGTACTCGCCCACGCACGCACGCAGGCGTTCCTGTACTCCCAAGTCAAAGTAGTCAAAGTAGTCAAAGCAGTGGGAGAGAAGGAGCTTATCGGCAGCATTCGTTAGGTAGTAGTATCTTCTTCATTGGACCCTCTCTCGTTTCTCTTCATCCTTTGTTCTGTGTGTGTGTGTGTGTGTGTGTGTGTGAGAGAGAGAGAGAGAGAGAGAGAGAGAGAGAGAGATGAAGAAGGAGGAGGAGGGATCGGGCGGGGGAGGGTGGCTGGAGGGGCTGATGGGGGAGAAGTTCTTCGGGGTTTGCGGGTTCCACGAGGATCGACGGAAGAGCGAGAAAAACATCTTCTGCCTGCGCTGCTGCCTCAGCATCTGCCCTCACTGCCTCCCTTCTCACCCCTCCCACCCGCTCCTTCAGGTATGAAATCAATCTCTTCTCACTGTTGCTCTGTTCAACATGAAACCCTTCTTCTCATTCAAGTAATCTCTTCGTGTTTATCTCGTTCTTCTTAGAGGAAAAATAATCGCGCAACACACCGTGCAAGGTTTCATGAGTGTTCTCCTAATTTGCTTTTGGGGTTTTGACATATACTATTTTCTACAGTACTTTGGTTATCCTTCTTCTTCTTCTTCTTCTTCCTTTGTTTATTTTGCTGAAATTTTTCTTGCCCGCTACTCAAGAAATAAAACTAGGATAATTGTCAGCTTAGACCTAGCTAGAGCTGCTAAAATTCAAAATGATTATGAATTGCATGGTTGGTCCAAACTCACTAAGTTTTACATCATCTGGCTCATGGCAATTTCCACTTTGCCCGTGCATTACTTCGTCAATCTTTATTTTTTTTTTTAAGAAACAAACTGAACATGGGGTTTGACTTCTGCACTTTCATTTAAGTTTTAGTTGGTTAGTAATTGTTTTGTCCCAGATTAATCATGAAGATTATGTGTGGTATTATTTGTTGTGCCATTCATAAATTGGTTTTTGTTTTTGTGCAACTCTTTATTTATTTATTCTTTTCAATATGTAATTAGTTTCTTCCCATATACGGTGGACTTCCTTTATTGATATCCATGTATTTGGCCCTGCAACATTCCTGTGCTGTAGCTTTCAGACTGAAAGTGCAAGTTTGACCAGAAATTTTTTTTCTAATTTCAGTACCTCGAAATATACTATATATTAAATTAAGGAAATTTGGCCTCATTATGAGGCGAAAGGATGAGTGCATTTGTTTCCTAGCATGGAAGGTTTGTTGCCTGGTTTCACCAATAATTGAAGTTGGTAGTGATGCCATCCCATCACTTCACACTTCCTCCATACAGTAAACCCTTTTTCTCTTCTTTTTTTCCCCTTTTCTTGCTTTTTCGCTTGGTGCACATTGCCTTCATACTAAAAAGAACTACTGAGAAAACCAAACCTACCAAAAAAAATGAGGGCCAATTCTCTTAACCCAAATTTCTGATTACTTGATGTTCGATCCATGCAATCAATGCACAAAGAACAAGGTTGAGAATGATTACAGATCGGTAGAATTCTATACAAGCATTTTTTTTATAAGAAATTTGTTGACGAATGCCCTAAAAGCACCTTTTGAGAAATTAATTAAGTTTGCGGTTTCTTATCTGCCGATTCTTCTCATTTTTTGTGTAATTAGTGATTTCGATAAGCGAAAAATTACTATGTCTTTTCTAATGTCGCGGTAGTCACGTTTTCCGGATGATATTCATTTCGGGTGTCAATAGTTTTCAACTATTGATCGATTTAGCTTCCATTAGATAAGAAATGGGTTATCTTCTAGGTTTTCAAATAGCACTTTGTCGACAAGCTCCCGAGGTTACTGATTAGCTATTACTAAGAATAGGAGCTTATGCTTTCAATATAGTGAAGAAGAGTAAACAATAAAATCTACTAAAGTCATAAAAAAATACAATCTTGTCGCTTCTCTTCAGACTTAATAGAATCCCTCCTCTTATAAATAGGTCACTAAAAAATGGTCCATGCGTATACTCAAAAATAGACTTGTAATTTTGAAAACACATACCAACAACATAAGTTGTTGACAATTTCGACATACAATAATGCGATTTAATTTACTGAAATTACACTTTGGTGACAGGTGAGACGATATGTTTATCACGATGTAATTCGTTTGGGAGATCTGGAAAAGTTGATCGACTGCTCCTACATTCAGGTATGCGCTGCGTTCATTGTGAATCATATTAACTTGGAAGATAAAGTTAATTGGTGGCTATGATCAGTGCTAGTTTGACCTCTTGATTCTTAGAAAAAGCATAAGATATATTCACGAATTTATTTAGTATATAGTCTGTGGAAAGTTTAGTTTATACAAGCCAACTCAAATGCATGTGAATTCAAAATAGTTAATGTTGTTCTTTATAATAAATAGTCTACGGAATACACGAGTGTCCTCAAGACGCATGTTGATTATTGCGAAATAATAAAGTACCATGCGATGCATTAATTTCTTTTTACGAAAATTTTGTGATCGTCGAAATTTTGTAACTATAGAACACTCGTTGACATGGTCTTACATAGAGAAAAGAACACTTTAATGAGGTATGATTATCTTACAGCCCTATACAATCAACGGTGCCAAGGTGATATTCCTAAGCCAAAGAGCACAATCAAGAGCTTGCAAAGGATCTACCAACTTCTGCTTCAATTGCGACCGAATTCTCCAAGAGCCTTTCCACTTCTGTTCACTTTCCTGCAAGGTACAAGTGCTCAAGAAAAGTCAAAAAACTTGGTGGCTCAAAGCTAAAAGGAACTCTTTTTAACGTTTATGTCCTCACATGGTTGAATTTAAATAAGTACATTCGAAGATCATTCATTAGCCCTAGCCCTTCCCTTAATGAACAATAATATCCAGGTTGATTACTTGGTGTGCCGAGCCGGGGAGGACGTGTCAAGCATCTTATACAAGTTCGATGAGTCTGATTTCGCGATCTCGCAGTTCGAGGGACTGAGAATGGAGAGCTCCTCATCAGAGATTGTTGATGAAGATGGCCAGATCACTCCAAACTCCATATTGGAGAACCCATTGCAGTGCAAAGGAGGTTCTTCTTCATCGGAAGATCCACACTTGATCAGGAAGAAGAAGAAGAAGAGCACTGGGTTCCTCCCTGGGATGGTTCTCTCTCTCAGCAACAGAAGAAAGAGTGCTCCACAGAGAGCTCCTTTTTCCTAGAAAATGTGAAGCTTCATTAGGAGTGACTAAATATAAAATGTGATGGTGTGCTAATTTGCGATTTCCAGGGTTTCTTTTCTTGTTTTTAAGCGGAGAACGCGCATGCAATTCCAATTACTGAACCGAGGTGGGTAAAGACAGAGGGAGAACTTTCGCCAATTTGAGTACTCCACCGATTTTGTATTCCATGTAATAGGGTTTGCGCGCGGATATATGTAATATTATCTGTCATACATTCAACATTGTATTCTGGTATAAACTACATTCCTGCACATCATGTTTTCTAATTACCACGTTTTCTTTGGAAACTAAGGGGAATTAGTTTGATCAAAATATGTACAATCGTACAACTTTGCGCCAATTTTAGTTACTTATCACAATCGGGAATATGATGAATGCGTAGGTTCATCAATGATGCATGCGCTTGAGAGGCATAGATTGTTAGATTTGTGGAAAGCTTTAAACTCGATTGAGATACTTCTTTCGGTGCAAACATCGATCAAGATTGTGGCATAGAGGGTGTTCTCTTGCTATATGAGTATAAGCGCCGGTGCGTTGTGTCGAAAATAGATGTGTGCAGATTGAAGAATGAGTACATACAGTCTTTGCATATATGAGCTCTTTTATTCGATTCTTCCTATTTTCCCATTAATTAGATATATATACGTGAAGGAGTCGAATCGATTACCATTTGCTTTGGCCAAAACCAATGTAATTAACATGAATAAACATGATTGAGGGAAGTGGTGCTTTTAGATGAGATATCATGTATGTCAATAGTCGATGTTCTGGTGAGGGATGGCAGCAGAACATGCAATAACAAAATTCTCTTGCAAAATCTAGGGAAGAGTGCATCGATGAAACGAGTTCACGGGAAAGAAAAGCAAGTAGTGAGAGTACATCTTACAGTTCATGTTTTCTCAAAATTGACACACTTCTTTACCTTCTTGGTTTCTTTACCTTTCTGGAACCATCAACTAATTTTCAACCGATACGATAAAGATCAGTAGTAACTTCGGTTGGGCTAAGGTTTTGATAAAGCAAAAACCAAAACCTGATGCTCTGGATGTTGCTCACCTCTTTTCAAACTTGCCATCATCATCCATCGCCTCTGGCGCAGATAGCTGGTCACTCACCGCCTTGACCTGGTGGCTCTGGTACGGTCACTTCTCTCTCTCTCTCTCTCTCTTCTGTTTTCCATGCTTTGTATAAAACAAAAGCTTAATAGTAGAGAGAATAGAAAATGTTGTCCGTACAGATGATGTTTACAAGGCAACCCATAACCCATAAATAACAGGAAAAGGAGATCAAGTTTCAAGAGGGCCTCGAGAAGAGAATCCCATTTGGTTGCCAAATACATATTTCTTGGATAGAGTGAATGAATTGGTGGGGGGGAGATGAAAATGAAATGTAGGTGACGCATCTTTCTGTTTTTTGGGGATTTGCTGGTTATTATAAACGCTTTGATGGTACTGCGTTATTCTTATCTATCGCTCCATTGCAGCTAGCTAGCTAGGGTTTTATTGTTGCGCTTGCACTTACCATTTCTTTCTCAGGAATCTATCTGACTAGGTTCTTTGTAAGTGACCAAGTACTTAGTATCTAGACATATGCAGATGATATGTTCATGTATATGCGTGATCTTACTGCCGTGAACATGGGTTTGGTTAGATTTATTATCGAGCAAGGATGCAAATGAGATTTTCTCTGTGGCCTACAGTTCAATTCAGATTTGGATTATATGTGGATCGAAGTCTGCATGTTAGGAAAGCACGGCGAACAATCATCGTAAGATCGGGTTGTCATGAGTTTGCGAATGGGACACTGCACGCTTCAATAATTTATCGGATTTCCATCAGCAAGAGGCTCTAATCAAAAGGTAAATCAAACTCGAAATCTTGTCTTGCGTTGATGGGAGATTCGTATCGGGTGTAAGAGATGCGAGTTTTGTGTCTTTGTTCACTAGTTTCTCCATGTGAAATCAGCCACTTCTCATGCAGCAACGTTCAAGTCAAAGACATAGCCAGAGAACGAGGGTCCAGTGATGGTACCCTAGAAATTCAACTTTGCAGAAGAAATTATTTGCATGTGAATGGACTGGACGTGCGAAATTGGCGATGACATTTTGATTCCTATCATTCTGTGTTCATACCAAAGCAGATAGGAATCGAGACATTTTCCCATTTTGGAGCAGTTGCATACTTTTCATGCTGCCGCTCTCGAACACTAATCTTCGGGAAGTTCTTATAGTTCAAAAAATAGAAGGTCGAGCGTTTGATTTTATGCATCGCACCAGGAGTCGATTCGGGCAAATCTCTTACGGAGACGTGGATAGCCCGACTTTAATCGGTAATTGAGTGAGCTTACAGTTAAACTAATTCATTAGTATAGTACAGGAAATAATCAAGATTTGCAACAATTATTTCCATTAGAGAAGGGATATGAACATCTTTTTACTGTTGTAGGAGGGCCACAGAACATACTTGATTGAGCCATGAGCCATGGCATGTGAAGTCCATTAAAATTCTGGTAAACTCCTTCGCTTACATCTTTCCTCTCTAATAAAGTTCTCAACGCATAAACAAGCACAGGTGCTGGGCCCTTCAATCAAACTCACAAACCAACATATGCAAAAGAAATCCAACATCCAAAGTTGAATGCAAAAATTCAATCGAGCAACTATATCAGACCATATTTCATAACAACTTGAATAATTAATATGAGGAATCCGAGCTTTCTACTTATCTGATCTTCATGGATATGATAGAAAGACCCATTAGGTGGAAAAAGACTGTATGAATATAAAGAGCATATAGGACCCATTGTCAAGTAATGTGAGACAATATTTCAGAATATTAGATAAATCTTTACTCTTAGCATGGCGAGCATGACCTCCGAAGTTATTTGGAGCGAGAGACGCCATAGTTCGAATATGAAATTTGCCGTATCTTCAGCTAATCCTCTTATATTTTGCAAGCATGAAATAATTTATGTAAATAATGACAATTTCTTTTTCTCGAATGTAGGTCTGTAATGCCTTAAATGTAGAAAATCTCGAACAAATGTACCTTCCCTTTTGAGCTTGAATTGACTTAATAAAATGCTCAAACTGCAGTTCAGTTTAATTAAGCTCGATATCAATATTTTAAAAATGCAACGGTCATTGGCAGACAATAAATTAAATACTAGCAATATTTCCTATGTGTAGCTACTTCTAAAATCTACAATTAAATACTTACATGCTTAATTCAATTATTATCAAGCTTAACATGTTAAAGCCCTAAGACATTGAAACCTTGCCCCGTTTGTTTGGAATTAAATTAAAAATGAGAGGTATATCTTTATTTTCCTGCCAAAATTTAGATTACTTTTAAGGAAAATTATATCCGAAAATTATAATACATATCTATATTTGAGTGTGCTGAATTAAATCAAACAAGGAAAAAAAGTGAAAAGTCAATTCAGTTACAAAAGGGAAAAAGCTCAAAATATAAATTAGAACAGTTCTTTTGAACTTCTTAAAAAAAAAGGGTTAATACTACGAAAAACTCCAAACTGATACACCCGTGACCAATTTACCCCAAACTATTTTTTTTACCACAAAAAACCCCACACCGGTACACCTGTGACAATTTTATCCCGAACTAATTTTTTGATCATCAAAAACCCCAAACTGGTACACCTGTGATAAATTTACCCTCCGTTAGTTTCCGTTAAATTTTACAATCAAATTGCTAAGTTTGATGACACGTGATAGTTGACAGGTGTACCAGTTTGGAGTTTTACCCCTCTGTTTGACACAAATTTACCAATTTGTGATTTTTCGTTATATTAATCCAATTTAACGGACACTAATAGAAGGTAAATTTATCACAAATGTACCCGTTTTGGATTTTTAGTGGTCAAAAAATTAGTTGAGGGTAAAATTGTCACAGATGTACCAGTTTGAGGTTTTTTGTGGTCAAAAAAATAGTTTAGGGTAAAATTATCACAAGTGTACTAGCGTAGGGTTTTTGTAATAAAAAAAATAGTTCGAGGAAAATTTATCACATATGTATCAACTTAAGATTTTTGATGAAAAAATTAATTCGGAGCAAAATTGTTATAGGTATATCAGTTTAGAATTTTTCGTTGTATTAACTCTTAAAAAAATGAAAACCCTAGAGAAGGCTCGTGAGAACGTGGATGGGACCTGTGGAGGCACAAATAGGAAGGTTTGTCCCGTCTCATTACGCACCACCCATCACTTTCACCTTTCCTCTATTGTCAGCTTTTGCAAGTTGCAGACTCTGAAAGCATCTCTCTCTCTCTTGGCTTCTCGTGTCAAGGTGCTTCGATGGCGGTTTGACCTTGAAAAGCTTCTCCTTGGGTTTGACGATGCCAAGAATGAAGTGGGGTTCATTCCTCATTCGTGATTGCTGCCCGATGCTTAACTGGTTTTGAGACGACTGTGCACTTCTGCAGCTAAAGATTCATCTGTTGCAATATCGACCCTTTGTTGGATTGGATCTGTAGAGCAAGAAGTGCCTCGTAAGCAGGCTTTTTCGCTTCAGGCTGCTGATAATTCGAGAGGGAGAAGTGAGTCGAAAAGGAAAGGAAAAAGAAGAGGAGAGATGAGTGGAATCAATTGAACTTAACTCAATTTCGAAAAAAGCCCTTGCTAATGTAATACCTATTAATTATGGAGCCTATATTAATCATTTTGTTAGTTTTGATATGATCAAGTTCTAAATAATAAATTTAAGGGATATCACTCGTTTAACTGCATTTGATATCACAAAGTTTTAAGACTTCTAATGCATTTACCTTTATATTGAACCCTAATGCAACTAAATGAGTCAAAATCACCAAAAAAATACATATTAAAGACCCACTCCACTCAACATTTTAATGAGTTAGATAAAACCGAAAATAAATAAAGAAATGGTTTTTTGTCCATAAATTGTTTATGTTGTGTGCACACATAACATTGCAAGTTACTTATATCCTATGATATGTTAGGGTTATGTTTGAATTATTTATGTCAAGTAAGTAATCCCGTAATGATGAGATTTAGTCGCGTACAAAAATTATCACCTAAGTTAATCGTGATTTTAGATTCTTGGAGCTTGTTTGCCTAGCCAGAATTTGACCTAGTTGCTTTTATGCTACCTAAATTTTAAGGATATTCTAGAGTGACTATGTCGCTTTTGGAATGTTTTATATAGGTGAATCCTAGAATGTTTTTATTCTAGAATGTTTTAAGGATATTCTAGAGCGACCTAAGGTGAAT